GCAGCCGATCTCGGGACCCGTGAGGGACCTGGCCTGGAGCGAGGACAGCAAGCGCATCATCGCCGTCGGCGAGGGCCGCGAGAAGTACGTGCCCCGCTCCCTGGTCTCCTCCCCACGCGTTGCTGTTGCTGTCGTTGTTGTTGGCGTGTGCCGCCTGTGGGTCGGTCGGCTGACCTCATCGCTGATGATTGTCCCCTTCCGCGCGCGCGCAGGTTCGGAACGGTCTTCATGTGGGATTCCGGCTCTTCCGTCGGTGAGATCACGGGTCAGTCCAAGACCATCCTCACCTGCGACTTCAAGGTATGTTCACACTGCACGCTACTTATTATTATTATTAATGTGTTATTTTTATTTACTTAATTGTTTATTATTCCTATGATCTCACGCGTTTGTGGTCGCACACCAGCCCACGCGTCCCTACCGCATCATCACCGGCGGCGAGGACTTCACGGCCTGCTGGTTCGAGGGTCCCCCCTTCAAGTACGTACCCCCGACCCCTCCGTCGTTTATGTGTTGGCCCACAACAGCGGCTCATCATTAATATCGTTCATCGTTTTCTCTCGTGTGCGCGCGTGGTGTTGGCCAACAGGTTCAAGAAGAGCTTGACGGAGCACTCGCGCTTCGTGACGTGCACCCGCTTCTCGCCCAACGGCGAAAAGGTGGCCACCGTGGGCCTGGACAAGAAGGGCATCATCTGGGACGGCAAGACCGGGTACATACCTCGAGACCGCATTCGCATTCCTCACTCACCCCCATTCGTACTGCTGCGAGCCGGGGCACTGACATAAGTGGGTGCCGCGATGCAGAGACAAGCTCGTGGAGCTGACCGGCCACACCCTGGGCGTGTACTCCGTCTCGTGGAGCCCCGACTCGCAGCAGCTCATCACCGCCTCGGCCGACAAGACCGTCAGGCTGTGGGATGCCGCCTCCGGCGAGTGCCTCACGTACGCTCCCATTCACGTTCCTCTTCCCCCCCCCGCCCACCCCCAAGCTGTGCCGGGGCCTAACGCGACGACGACTCGTGGGGATCGGTTCGTCGGCGTGGCATGCAGCACGTTCGATCTGTCGTTCGGTAGCAACAGCGTGGACTACCAGCAGCTCGGCTGCCTGTGGCACCAGGACTACCTCGTGAGCGTGGGCCTCAACGGCAACATCTACTACCTCGACCGCGCCCACCCCAACGAGCCCCGCCTCGTCATCAAGGTACTAGCCCACCACCCATCCCACCATAAACGACACGACACACGACACGCGCGTGTGTGTGCGCACGATAGCTAACGAGACGCACTGGGTGGCGTGTGACAGGGCCACAACAAGTTTGTGACCGCCCTCGCGGCTGACCCGAGCCGTGGCCACGTGTACACGGGCTCGTACGACAGCCTCATCATCAGGTGGGACATCGCCACGGGCGCCAGCGAGACCCTCACCGGCAACGGCCACTCCAACCAGATCCAGAGGCTCAAGGTGGCCGGCGAGACCCTCGTCTCCGCCGCCATGGACGACAGTGTGCGCTTCAACTTCACCAACAGCGGCGCCTACGGTGACGCCGTCTCCACCGACAGCTCGCCCCAGGACATCGCCGTCAGCCGCGATGCCTCCCTCACCGTGGCCGTCACCCTCAAGGTACACCCCCCAAGCCCACCACTCACCCTGTCTTAGTGAAACAGGAAAACTAAAGCATTCCATCATGCGCATTCCACAACAGAGCGTGGTGGTGCTGCGCAACGGCCGCACGGCGTCGACCCTGAACGTGAGCTTCCAGCCGACGTCGGTGGCCATCTCGCCCGACTCGCGCACTGTCGCGGTGGGCGGCAAGGACAACAAGGTGCACCTGTACGCCCTCAACGGCGACAACCTGAGCGAGACCCGCGTGTTGGACAAGCACAGGGGCGCCCTCACCGCCGTCGAGTTCTCGCCCAGCGGCGAGTTCCTGGCCACCGCCGACAGCGAGAAGCGCGACATCATCGTGTGGAACACGAGCGACTACTCGGTCAAGGTCGAGGGCTGGTGCTTCCACACCGCCGCCGTGCGCTCCATCGCCTGGACCAGCGACTCGCTCAAGCTGGCCTCGGGCTCGCTGGACCAGGACGTCTACGTGTGGAACGTCAACCACCCGTCCAAGCGCATCCACATCTCCCGCGCCCACCAGGGCGGCGTCAACGCCGTCGCCTGGCTCGACGACCTCACCCTCGCCACCGCCGGCCAGGACATGTCCTGGAAGACCTGGACCGTCACCCACCTCTAAAAACAGCCGTGTCAGCGCACACACACGCTCAGAGCATCCCCTTGGGTGTTCGACAATGTCGTCAGCTCTTCTGTATGTCTACTTTCACCACCACATCATCAACAACAACACTGCGCGCCTTCTCGTGTACTTCCTTCTTCTCTTCGTTTCTACCGGTAGGGCCGTTTTCTCGTAGTTCTCTTCTCCGGTGGCGGGTTATTGCCGGGGACCTGACGCACCTGTTCGCGCGACAGGAAACCCGGAGAGGAGAGGAAAGAGTAGAGGCACCGCGGGTTCAAATCATTTATATAACTGTTAAAAACATAGAGAAGGAGATGAACAGCGCCGCTACGTCGTCACGAAGGAAGGTGGCCCGCGTCATCAACTCCTTCCCCGTACCTGGCGCTGGCGTCAGAGCCACGTACAGCCCCCAATTTCTTTCCTACGGGCACGGGGACTGAAGGGGGGGGATAACGGCTTTCTCACGACGGGGGGGGGTGAGCAGGTGCCTCAAATCAGACTTTCACGAGGACGTGCGCAAGATCGCCGACGAAGCCGACGCCAAGTGCGCTCCTCCCCCCTCCTCACCCTACTTAATGCCTTGTGGCGCGTGGTGGGCTCTTTGGGGAGGTGGGCACTTGTTTACAAACGAGCCTTGCCTGGCGCACACCCACACACACAGAGGCAACCCGCAGTCGCGGGCGGAGAAGGTGATCGTGGTGGGGGACCACTCTGTGGGCAAGACGTCCCTCGTGCGCCGCTTCTGTGAGGGTACGAACCTTCCCGCAAACCGTCTCTCAAACACTCAAGCTGAGTACCACCCCGCCAGGCAAATTCACGGACCAGTATAAAGCCACCATCGGGGTCGACTTCATCTACCAAAAGTACCGCATCCTCAAGCAGGACTTCACCCTTCACATGTACGCCGCGCCTCCACATTGACACCTGAGAATGCCAGGCACGCAGTGAACTGCGTGCACCGTCAAGTGTTCGCCGCGTGTCGGCCTTCTTACATAGCTGCATGGATGATTGATCAACAGATGGGACACGGCCGGGCAGGAGCAGTTCCGGTGCATCTCCAAGGCCTACTTCCGGGGCGCCAGCGGCAGCATCCTGGCCTTCGACCTGAGCAGCAAGGAGAGCTTCGACAACACCCGCGCCTGGCTCGAGGAGGTCCTCCGGGAGGTACCAACATCCGCCACACACAACCGACATCACCGTTATGGAGGCGGCCGCTGATCTGACCAGCACGGCCGTGGTGGAACGATATAACAGGTGACGCCTGGCCACAAGGTGTTCCTGGTGGGCCTCAAGGACGATCTGCCGGTACGTGCCGCCGCCCAACCGCGCGCCCAACCACAACGCGTTCGTTGGGAGGCTGAGTATTATCTGTGAAATGATTGCGCAGCACGCCATCGACAAAGCGGAGGCCCGGAAGATGGCCGATGAGCTCAAAGCCGAGTACTGGGAGGTGAGCGCCAAGAAGGGTGCGTCGCCCGTCCCATCACACACCACTACATGAGTGCGCTCTTGTGTTCCTCTCTCAATCACCCACATCACCACAAATGCAGACCACAATGTGAACGAGCTGTTCGATCGCGTGGCCGCCGCGCTGTTCGAGCAGAGCATACTGAAGGCCGAGGCCAAGAAGAACCCCACCATCAACCTGCCGTCCTCGTCCAGCAGCTCCCGCACCGACTCAGCCATCTCCGACAGATACGTGGGTGCGTGCCCTCTCCGCCATCTCCGACATCAACAACAGCAACGACCTCCCTATCCTCATCTCTTCTCATCTCTCTTCTCGCTCGTGCGCACACACAACAGAGAAAAGTTTTGAGAGCAGCAAGCAGAACGCGGCCCAGGCCACCAACCAGGGCTACTGCTGCTGGTGAGGAGACTGGGCGACGCCCACAACCCCAATGATGGGACAACCTCGCCCCCTCGTCGGCCAACCACCACCGCCACCACTGCTGTAAAGAAGATATATAGAAATACCTACAACACCCTCTCTTCCAAGTAATGCTTGCTTGCCTTCTACACGCCGTCGTCGGTCGCGTAGACCTGTTGTTGCTGTTGGGTTGGTTGGTTGGTTGGCCCACGCACTTACCTCACGACCATGACGTCGGATGTGGCGTGCTGCGTGCAGTGGTCCGACACGCTGCCCAACAGCAGCCTAGAACAGTCCACCACCAGTCAGGCATTTCGCGCGCGCGCGCGAGTGCGTGGGGCAGTCGCGAGCGGGCGCGTGAGGGTCGGTACTTACTTGGTGAGGGTGCCGAGGCCGCGGGTGCCCAGCAGCAGCAGGTCGATGCGGTAGTCCTCCACCTGCCGGCAGATCTCCTGCTTCGCGCTCAGGCCCTCCGCCACCACGCTCACGTACCTCACCTTCAACGCCCAACCCGCCCACGGTGGGTGCCCCCGCCCCTCGTTAAATCACTTACCCACCAGCGCGTCGTGCGCCGTGTCGTGCGTGTCCTGTCGTGCGTGTCGTGCGGGGCATGTGTGTGCGTGTGTGTGCGTGCAAGGGGAATAAATGAGGGTACGTTGGCCTGGCGGCACTGCTCTTCGAAGGGAGCGAGGAGGTGGTGGGCATCGTGCACCACGTGAGCATCCGATGCCTCGGCCGCCGCGCCCGCCTTGGTGGCCGCGTGCAGGTGCTGCGCCTCCCTCTCCACGAACCGGCCCTGAAAAGAAGATTTAAAATGTGATAATAAATGGCAGAGCACACAAAGGCTGAAGAGGGAGTGGGGGGAGGGGGCATGATGGTGTACGGGTTCGATGACGGTGAGGAGGTGCAGAACCACGGGCCTGCCGCTACCGCTGGCGACCGCGAGGGCGAGGGCGCGCTCGAAAGCCTTCTGGGCGTGGGGGCTGCCGTCGAGACCCACCATGAGCCGCCACTCCTGCTGTTGCTGTTGCTCCTGCTGGCCTGCCATGGCTGCTGCTGGTGTGTAGAATTTAATACAAAAAGTTTGTTTTTTCTGTCGTTGACAAAAAGAAAGAAAAAGAGTAAAAAAGGGAAAATACCAATAATAAAAAGCAAACAAACAACAAAGAGATGGACGTAAGCAGCGGCAGCAGGGTGGGCGGAGAGGTGGTGACGGTGCAGATGGGCACCTACGCCAACGACGTCGGGGCGCACTACTGGAACCTCCTCACCACCGCGGCCGCAACCAGCGCACGCGGCAAGGTAGACCAAGCACTACTCGTACCACTTTGTGTCCCCCTCCTTTCTTCCATTATGCTGACGTTTCCTGGTGGCAATGGCTGCAGGCGCGCGGGGAAGTGGTGGAGGAGGAGCAGCAGGAAGAGCGAGAGAGGCCGCGGAGTGTGATGTGGCGCGCTACCGGTGGCCACCAGCAGCGGCAGCTGCAGCCGCGCGTGCTGGTGCTGGACCGCAAGGGCAACTACTCGCCCCACGCCTACGCCGCCTCCTCGCTCCGCACCACCGCCACGCCGGCCCCGCCCCACCACCCGCAAAGCGGCGCATCCGTGCTCTGGTACGCGCCTCGCCGTCAGTCTCCCGCCTCTCCCCACCAAGCGCGAGCAAGCCGTGGAGGCGACAACCCACCAGCCCGTGTGTGTGTGTGGTGTGCCGTGTGTTGTGTGCGTAGGTCGGGCAGAGTGGAGCGGGTTCAGATGAGCGATGATCAATCGCAGCAACGTAAGGGCGAAGGTGAAGAGCGACAGAGGAGCGGAGCGAAGGAGGGCGACGGCGACGAGGAAGAGGAAGAGGAGGGGCGAGCGGAGGAGGAGAGGCGGCGTGCGGAGGCGCAGGTGGGCGCGTGGGGCGAGTACTGGGGCGACGGCGGGGCGGGTGCTCCGCTCCACCCGCGCTGTCTGTGGGAGGTGCCCCACTCCCTGCCCCTCGTCACGTGGGATCACGGGGCCGCCCTCCTCCGACACCACCCCGACCACGTGCGTCTTCCCTCTCCTCCTCGCTTTCGCTTTCGCTTTCGTTCTTCCGCCATGCACTCACCGGGGAGAGGGGGTTCGGCCTGCGGGGCTGGCTGGGTCTCTGCTCTGTCGATAATAATAGCGCGAGGAGGTGGAGGACCGGCTCCGCTTCCTGCTCGAGGAGTGCGATTGTGTCGACGTACGTAGATATCGCTTCCAATAGCGAGAGCGGCCGCGCTGACGTCATCCGTGTGTGGTGGTTGGGTGGCTTCACCACCAGGGGTTCCAATTGCTGGTGGACGTGGACGACGGGTGGGGCGGCGCGGCGAGCGAGGTCATCGAACTGATCCGGGACGACTTCCCGCGCACGCCCCTCCTCACCTTTGCCCTCGGACACCCGCGCCGCTCCCGCACTCCCGTACGCCGACCCGCCCAGATCACCCGCGTCGCGACGCTGCAGTCTCCTCGTTCCACTCACCTCCATGACCAACGAACGACCATTAGGTGGAGGACGAGACGCGGCTGATCAACCGGGTTATGGCCCTGCAGCGGCTGTCGGATCGCGACTCCAACCTCTCCTCCCTCGTGGTGCCCCTACAGCCGCTCCACTGGCCCGCCTTCCCCCACCTCGCCCTCCCGGTACTCCGTCTGCCCCCTTAGAGAAAGATCTTTCTATAAATATCCACCTTTATATATATTATATCTACTTTGCTCGTGGTGGTCCTTTTCCGCCACTGGCACTGCCTGCTGCAAGCGGGGCGTCTCACACGACTCTCACTCGCCCAGGCCGACAGCGAGTACCACTCGAGCGCGGTCGCCGCGATGGCCATCGCCTCCGCCACAGCCCCCTGGAGGTTTGCCCCCCCCCACCCAAATCCAACCAACACAGCACGTGTCGGTAAAGAGCGTGGGTGTGGTGAGCTGACCACCCACTACTGCCTACGGTGAGCAGTAGCCGGGCGGGCCCGTCGTCGATGGCGTCGGTGGTGACGGGCGAGCTGCGGGTGGCGAACATGCCCGTGGCGGCCCTTTCGCTGAGCCTGCCGTTCCCGGCCGCCGGCTTGCGTGATGGCCGCGTGCCATCGGGGATGCCCCTCTACGCCGCCGACTTTGTGCGCGGCCTCTCTTTCCCGGCGCCGCTGCCCCAGCTGGTATGTACACCACATCCACACCTGCTTCTTCTCCTTCTCTCACCCCCGCGGGGCACATTGCAGGCACCGGCTGCGGAGGCGATCAGCGTGGCGGGGCTGGAGGCTTCCGAGCGGTGGTTCACGCAGCATCTGGGCCAGTACTCGGTCCTCAATCGCTTCCTGTACGCGCGCCTCTCTCTCGAGGTACCTCGAGCTGGCTGCTGACACTCCCGCGTGCGTGGGCGGGCGGGCGGCGCAGGTTTATGGAGGAGAAGCCCGTCGCGATTCCCTCGACGTATCCGTGGTTCTTCAAGCCGGCCTCGTCCGCCCCCTACGGCACGCGCGCCACAGCCGGTACGCGCGCGCTTCACCGTTCCGTTCGAGGGGCTGACGCCCGAACAGCGTGAGTGCCGACTGATCGTTGCTTTGTTTTGGGGCGCGCCAGTGCCGGTGCTGAGCCATGTGCAGGTGACCAAGGCGATCGCGCCGAGCCTTCAGGTCCTCGCCAAGCAGGCTAGCAACGTGTCCAAGGTAAGTAGTAGTAGGAGGGCACCAGCCAAGGAGCCACCTTGGCTGACGTTTAACTGGGCGGGGCGGGGAAGGCACGGGCGGTGGCCGTTGCTGGAGAGGAGTGGGCGGAAGCGCAGGAGCAGCTGCACGGCCTCGCGAGCGCCTACACGCCCGACAGCGACGACTAACACGGAACCAAAAAGTTCACCAGAGAACTGTTGGCCAATTGGCACTGCTTGCGGCTTCAGTGAAACTACAAGTGCACTTCGCTAAACACAGTTTGAAACCAACATAGCGTCTTATTTTTGTTCTTATCGTGATGGCGGAGCAGCATGACAAGGGGTACCCCGACGAATCGGAGTTTGCGTCGGTCCCGGTGCAGCGCCAAGCCAAGGTGCTGCCGTCACCCTTGCTTTGAGCGACGCATCTCAACCCCCCCCCTTTCTCTTCCCCCCTCCGGTGGCCTCTGGGCGCAGCTGGGCAAGGACCTGTGGCCCCTCTATAAACGTACACTACTACACGCCCAGTGCCCAACATGTTACACACGGGCGCTGCCTCACCTCTGCCGCGATCAGGATTGGTGGCCGACATGATGCGGCGGCCAGGCCAGAGCACCAGCGCGTACCAACACATCCTGAAGGCGCTCGAAAAGCCGGCGCACGGCGCTCACTCGGCCTACGTGCAGCTGTGGCCCTGCATCATCGGCACGCTCCTGCGCCAGGTAACAGCCACGAATCCAGCTGTCTCGTATGGGGTGTGTTGCGTCGTGTTCGCCGGCAATGCGCGGTTGGGTCGTGGTAGTGTGAGCCAATGTGTGCGGCCGGTGGCGGTGCAGGGCGAAGCGCGAGAGCAGGGCGAGGAGGACTCGGACAGCTGGGGCGTGCAGGTGCTCCTGGCACAGCTCCTGCCCGGCTACGACATCGACTCCAATCTCTGTTCCCCGTGGATGCACCGCATCTACGGCCTCATCGTACACTGCTGCTGCTGATTCCTTCACCTGACACGTCCTCCCCCATGCAACCACTAACTGTTCTCCGCGCGCGCGCTGTGTGTCGTGTGTTGTGTTGGGAGCAGGCAAGCAACAAGACACCCGACGCTCTAAAGGTGACACTTCTGGAGTACCTGGGCACCAGCCAGAGCGGGTCGGATCGCCTGGCGATCATCCCGTTCCTCACGCAGCGCATGCAGCACGAGACCAACGACAAGGCTCGCTCGTGCGCTATTCTCATTCTCTATCTATTGTATGCACCTCACCTTCTCCTCTCGTCGGCCTGCTGCCACACCAGCTCACACCCACCGCTGCACGCTTCTTTTTCTTCGTTCTTCATCCAAACCAGGCGAGTTCACTGCGACGAGAGCATATTGGAGCAGGCCTACCAAGCGGCCACCCGAGTGTGGTGCGACACCGAAGGCAGTGCCGAGGGGAACAGGCTGGGCGTGCTGAGCAAGTTCGCCCTCGGTGCACACCAACTTTCTCATCCCTCGCTTTTGCTGTTCACCCCCCCCCAAACCAGTGCAACATTGCTTACATCCTCTCACTGATCCCTTGACATTGTTCGCTCCAGCGCTGCTGTGCGTGAGGAGACTCGAGGTACCACCTGCGAGTGCGATCGAGCACGCCACCGCGCTCATGATCGACGACTCCGAGGTGGCCGCGGCCTGGCGGGGCTGTGTACTGGGCACGGGCAACCGGCTGCTCGAGGCCACCACGTCGGACGCCTCCCGGAACAGCAGAAGGTCGAGCTTCCTCGATGACGAATCAGAAGGCGAAGTCCATTCCCCATCGCCGGTTGAAGTTAGCAGTTCCTTCGTCCACATCCTCCATCACACCGTACATTGTCTCCTCCCCCCCCTTCTCTCCCCAATGACATCTACCCAGATACACATGTGCGCTCACAGCGCACGGCACACGACACACACGACGCACGACGCACGCGACACACGACACACGCAGTTGCGACTCATGGCCAGCAGACCCATCAAGCGAGTGCCAGTGCTGCGCGTTGTGGTTGAGGCCGTGGCCCGTGGGGGGTGGACCGAGGGTGCCTTGTACCGACGCACCACTCCTCGCAACACCAAACGGGAGAGAGCGGACATGACTGGCCTGCGTGTGCGTGTGTGCGTGCGTGTGCGTTTGTGCAGCCGATGCCTCACCGATGTCTTGGTGATTGCACTGATGCCGGAACCGATGCCCATGGGCACCTACGTTGATGAACTCGAAACAGAAAACCAAGAAGCGGTCCCGGTGCTGCGGCAGCTGGCCCACGACCCCCGGTTCGAGCGGGCCTGGGCCTGCTGGCAGAGGTACGTAACCACAAACCAAGAAATATATGTCCTTGCCGCACACGCCAACAACGACCAATATATATTTGTGTATTATTTATTGCTAACGACATCGTGGCAGCTCGGAGCAGTGGGCGGTGAGGGGCCTGCCCAATACACAGGCTGGCATGATGCAGTTTGTCTCGACCAAGATCCCGCCCCATTTGGCGGGCCGCAAGTGGTGCGTGTGCATGTGTGCGTGTGCATGTGTGCGTGTGCGTGTGCGTGACATTGTGTGATCTTGTTGGGCTGATTTCAACTCCCTGCAGGCTCCCGTTACTGTCAGGTGTTGAGCAGGAGACGGAGTATTCTCCCGTGAGTTATTATAGTACGTTCGTTGGTCAGTGATCAGTGCCGTATTCTGCTTTCACCCACGCCTGCAGCACCACCACCGTTGCCTTTGGCGCTGTTACCGCCAATCATGAACACTAAACTGACCTTTCTTCAGGCAGCGAGACGGTGGAGTCCCTGGTTCGCGGCCTTGCCTCCCGTTGGGCCGAAAATCAAAACAGCTACCTCGACGCTGCGCTCGACTTCTGGTTCGACGGTACCCGTTTCGCCCACTGAGCCTCATCGCTTCTTCTGCTGGCTGCTGGCTGCTGCGTGCACTGTGTGGCGCCACTGAGCTATTGCGCGCGCGCATCAAGCAGACCAGGCCTGGGAGTTCCGGGATGAGTCCGATCAGTCGTGGCATCGGGTCGTTCCTTGGGTCGTCCACCTGCTCACCTGCGAGTGCGTGTCCAACAAGCCACGCCTTCTGCACGTGCGATACATTCCGCCTCCTCCCCTTCTTGATGCATTTTTTTTTAAGTCACCACCGACCGCACCACCTCAACCTTCCAAGCATCCCATTTTCTATTTCCGTGTGCGCAGCTCCTGATGGCGATCGCTGGCGCTGGCCGAGCAGCGACGAACTACAGCATCGGCGGTTGGGACCTGGACTCCCTGGAGTCCGAATGTGCATTCTATGGCACCGTGGTACCGTACCCACAAACAGGCCTATTCCTTCTTTCATCACCACCCCTTGCCTCACTCGCCTCGACGCGCAATACATGCCACAGGGCCGACATATGGACACCATCGCCGAGCTGGTGTACACGAGCAAGGACCAAGATGTCCAGCTCAGGGCGCTGTCCGTCATGGAGGTAGGTGATCGCATTACTTACCCTACTTTTACTTTACCTTTACATCACCACCCGCGCGCTCCAAAAACTGATGGCCTCATCGTCGTCAAACACCAGATGTACCCGGGCTTGTGGCGCACAACGCTGCCGCACTTAGTGACCTTATTCAGGGCTGTGGCCCACCAGGCCCCCGCCGTGCGCGTCGCCGCCTTGGCGGCCATGTCCTACGTGGCACCCATTCCCTGGCGGCGCAGCGATGCGGACAACTCCGATCATGAGGAGGCCGATGCGTTCCTCCAGACGATCCGCCTGCTGGGCCTCTTCTTGCCTCTCTCCGGTGCGGCTTGGCTGCTCTCCTTACTCGCCGTCATTTGTATCTCATCTCAGCGGTGTGCGTGCGTGCGTGCTTGCCTTGGTAGGAGTGAAGCCGCTGAAGAGTTTGGTGGCATTTGCGCTCGCCGAGCGTGGTGCTTCCACGCGGAGCAAAGAGCAGCTGGCAGGGCTGCCGGAAGAGCTACTGTCCTTTTTGATGTCGCTGGGCATCTCCACACATCCCAATGATACCGCCGCATTCCCCAGATTTCAGGTGCGGCACTCTCCTTGGTCGTGGTACCAAAGTACTTCATCACCCTTAAGAACAACAACAACACTGTCGATCTCTTCCAGACCAGGGCGGCTGAGGGAGTGTGTAGGCTCGTGTTCCGTGCTCGCGGGTGGACTCATAGTAGGCACACGTTCGTTCACGGTATGGTCTCTTGTTGCGAGCCCCGGCCGGGAGGGTTGATGTGCGCTGCGCTGCTCACCCACGCCGCCGCCGCCACCAACAAACCCGCACTCTGCTCCCCCACAGCACCACCGCAGCCGCCCATCGAACTACCCAAGGCCGAGGAGAAGCTGCTCCCGCTGCTCCCGGGGGCGCTGCACGTGTTGCGGAAGT